TGGGGTGCGAGATCTTATAGAGCGCCCAGTGTTTTTCCTCCGGAAACACGATGAGCTCCACCGGAGGGACTTGATTGTTCACCACCCCGAGCACTTTGCTAATTGGAGAGTTTTTACACTGCTGTTTTGACTCATGGTATTACGAGCAGATCAATATCCTGCCTTTGGAATCACCATTCCTCTCGTTACTCCATAAAAATGTAAATTGCCCACCACGCCTGGTGTGGTTCACACGCGGGGATGGGGAGGTTTCTGGATGGTCTTGCTGCCTTTGACTAAAGCATTTATCTGCTTCTTGTGCCTACTGCAAAGCAGCCATGAGCCCAAGTCGGCAATGCAAAATTGTTAGCGGATAGGAAGGTGGGATAGTGGGGTGGGCTGGTGGACTGGGTTGCAAAGGGATCCAGAAAATAAAAGTGGCTTGAAAGAGAACAAATAAGGCCATGGTGGCATGTAGGAAAAATGAGTGTGTTTGGGCAGTTTAGGGAAAAAATCTAGGTTGTGAGTGGGCGAAGGAGACAAGGGGAATTATGGATGTAGGTATGAGCACATGATGGGGCGGCAGAAGGTGAGCACAGAGCCCGGGGGTGGTCTATGTGTGGGGTGCCCTGAAAACAAGGAGTGTGAGCATCCTCCGCCGAGCCCCGGGGGCCAGCACTGGCCATCCGTCTCCACTGGGGCGGTGGGGCTCAGCCCTGGTGGGTTACAAAAGGAGTTGAGTCACCTCTGGGCTCTAAAGCTGTCACTGAGGTTTGGGTTTCGGGTTTAGAGGTGGGAGATGGCGATGCGAGACTTTGAAGCAAACTCCTGCTGGACGTGTCCAGTTGGAACAATGAGAGTGGGCAAATGCAGGTGGTGGGACATGGCCAGGGAGTAGCATCAGAGAGAAACCTATTTCTGAGTAAAACAGCACTTAAAGGGGTGTTGCAGTATTTCAAGTCAGTGCTTTCTTTGCTCAAAGAGAGACTCTTAACCCAAAGAGAAGGAATTTAAAACCCCAGAGGAGACAGAAAGCATACAGGCAGGAGGCTCAGAAGGACAAAAGGTCTCCAACAGTGTCCCATTCCCACGATATTTGTTCCAAATATCTGCTATTGGTTACCTTTATTACACTTTGATTGGAGAAAAAAGTAGGGAGGAAAGTATTGTGACTCTGTCCTCACATGTACATTAGGGAGGGCATCAGGATCCGCGTCTCTGTTCATTTAACGCTCTGCTTTGGGGAGAAAAGTGTCTTTCTGCCTGCAGAGCACACCAGGCCTGATCTCATCCAGGACTCTAGAGGCCACTGTAGTAGTAATAATAGCACAGATCAAATTAAAATACAGAGTCAAGGAGATTCATTGCTAACCAATGGAGCTGAATCACTTGAACAAATTGATAGATGAGGAAATCAGAACGTGTCTGGGGATATTTCACAAATGTCAGAAGATGAAAATTCTTGTGAAACTATTATTCACGATCACTAATTACACCCCAGATCACGTAGACGGTGACAAACATGTTTATCGTTTCTCTCGGCGATAGAGACATCCATCTGAGCATGGCCTGGTGGGGAGGATGCTCATGCGCATCAGAGACCCGGACCTATGTACAAGACAGGACCGTATTGACCCTACAGCTGGTCTCTGAGCCCCACATATCTCCTGCAAAGCTCCTGGTCTTTGGGAGAGGCTTCCCTGCATCCCTTGATCCTATTCTGAGTGGATGGCAGTTTTTCCTTTGGGTAATTTGTTGGTTTTATGGAAGGAATTGCCTTTGCAGTTGTCCTAATACAAGTCACGGGAGGTGATTTGTTCTCCAGTTTGGATCATGGTCTCTGGGTGGCTTATATGTGGTCATGATTCTTCCATACGTCAGTTATTGGTTTTCTATTTACGAAGGAGATAAATGAAGCACAGAAAAAAACCAAGATCTTAGAAGGATCTGGGGGACACCCCAGGTCCAAGTTCAAACCTCCAAATCCCTAAGAGGTGATTTAAACACAAAGAAGATCTCTCTCTTGTTTCGGACAGGGATTGCTCGTGTGAAATCCCTCTCATTAGAGGTTAGACAAATCTATGTCAAAATAGCTAAATCAGAACAACTCCTGCCCTGGGGTGTGGGAAGTGGGAGCTGCCCTTCTGAGGTCTCCTCCAGTCCTCTCTTCCAAAGCCCAGCAATCTCCAGAAGGGATTTGAAAGTGGATTTGGATGCCTTTGCCACCCCCCCATCATTTGCTGTGATAGTTTTGCTGGCATTTTTCTTTCCACAGGGGTCCCCGAGGCTTGCACAAGCGGTGTTGCGTGCACTGGGGTAGCTGAGCCATTGCAATCCACTGCACAGCCCATGGGGTGGGCATTTGGGCTACTCCGGGGCTGGGCCACCCTACCGAGCTGTGCTTGGGATGGGGACTGTGTGCTCTGCAACGCACGTTGGCATCAGCCTTTGCACATGCACAAGGAAGAGGTTGGCAAGGAAGGCTTGCTGCAGTGTCAGGGCAGAGCATGTCAGCAGCCCCCGTGTGTCTACCCATAAAACCTCCATCCCAGAAAGGTGCACCCTGCGCCTGTTTTTACTTCTTTTCCTTATCCAGATCGTGCTGCAGGAGAAATCTCCACCATTAATGTTGCAAAGCGGCTGATTCTGCGATGTGTCACATCCTGCAGGCTGGGCCAGGCAGGACACCAGGAGACAGAGACAATGGAGGTTCTCGCCTGGGCTGGGTGAGGTGTGAGGAGCCACTGGGGACATGATGCTGTGCATCACTGACTCCAGATCCCTGCTTTGCTGCAACAATCCTCCCAGGTGATTCCTCTTCTAACCCTACCAGGCCATCTCTTACAAGGAGTTTGGGGCCTTTCGCCCCATTAGAGAGAGGGGGTCCAGCCAAGTGCCCCCCTCATGTCTACCAACCCATTTCTAATTTCCATTTGACATGTATTCCTGGCCAGATGATCCCCATTTCTCCCTGGGTCAAAGTCTTCAGTTCTGAGAGTTCTCACCCCTCCCTGGTCTTTCTCAGCATCTCTCAGCCATCAGAATGGCACCGAGCATCACTGAGTATCAGCTGCTGAAGACACGCAGGTCCTGCAGGAGCTGCCTCCCTTGGGGTGAGACAAGATCTGTCATGCTTGGGATCTCTGAAGGTCTAATGGACCATGGACCAGAGCATTTCTTTTCTAGCAGCTTCAGCATCCCGTCTTGCTCTGCACTAGCTGTGCCATTCCCATTCCTGAATCCTCTTCCTGACTTTTTTCCCAGGGCTTTTTTTTGAGACTTATGATGCAAGTCAAACTGTACCCGTTGCCTCGTCAGTGAATGAAACGATGTGCCAAGCAGACCCTCTCATTTTTACCTCTGATGAAATGTGTGGGTTTTTTTACATTAGTATATTAGTATTTAATTGCTGGGTTGCATAAAGAGTCCATGATCAAAACTGTTAGTTATTTCTCAACAAGGAAGTTGTCTGGAGTAGGAATAAAAAGACACCAGGTTGAATCAACCAGGATCCTTGATGTGAGGGTGAAGGGACACTGCAAACTCTAGCTTTGGCCAGAAGAAGGAACAGAAGCAATTCAAAGGGATGAAGTGGAAAACACTGATGCAAGGGGGTTATGAACAATGATTTTTTATTGCCTCCATGTCTGCTGTGAAATAAGGAGGTGAATAGCACTTAATATTTCACAGAGACAGTGGGTTACACCTTCGAAGCACGTTACCAGCTAAATGACAAGAAGAGTGGAGATCCGTGAGCAACACGGGACATGCCGCCCATCAGGGCAATGTTGCAAGAGTGAGAAGTTTCCCCCATTCATCCCCACTCCTCATGTCCTCTACTTTATCTTCCGGGCTGGCACTTTGCAGACCTGCTTTTGCTGCTGGCTTGGGATGCACTTTGCCACGGGCACGCAGCCTTGCTGCACCGGACAGGGACAGGTCTGCACTGGGCAGCACTGCAGGACGCACTGTGTTGGCTTGCTGTAGCATGGCTTCCCCCCCTGGTACCCTGATCCGTGGCACGTCTCGGAGCAGACCGACCTCCCGTAGCTGTGGCATCCCCCCGACGACCCATAGCTGTATGTGGGTCTCCTGACACAGCTCGAACCACCTCCGTGGCACGAACCTGAGGACCCGTGGCATCTCTCAGAGCAGACCGACCTCCCGTAGCTGTGGCATCCCCCCGATGACCCATAGCTGTACGTGCCCCTCCTGACACAGCTTGAGCCCCCGCCTCCGTGGCACGAGTCAGCCGCAGCAGAGCCGTGGCATCTCTCGGAGCAGACTGGCTGCCGATAGCCGTAATGACGGTAGTTGTGCCCTCTCATGCCTTCAACGCCTTCGCTGTCGCACCCTGAGGAGCAGGTGTTATAGCCGTAGCAGAAGGGTGTGCGCCGGGTGTCCAGCCAGGACCCCGAGGGATCATACCAG